GCATCGTTATCGGAAACATCAGTATCACACTCATCATCAGCATCAGCATCAGCATCATCATCATCATCATCATCCGCATCATCATCAGCCTCATCATCACCATCGTGATGGCAAGTATCACCATCGTGCACATCATCGTCATTAGAATCATGATCATCATTAGCGGCATCGGCATAGTCATCCTCCGCAACCCCATCATCTTTAACGACAGCATCATCGCCTCCATCAGCATAATCATCACCGATAGCCGTCCATTAGCATCGTCATCGTCATCATCATATCCATCATCGTGGTGATGGTGATGGGCATGGTCATTGTCACGGCCATCATCAGCATCATCCGTCATCATCAGCAGCATCATCGTCGTCGTCATGATCATTAGCATCATGGACCTCATATCATCACCATCACCATCACCATCACCATTACCATCCTCCTCCTCACCATCATCATTTGCATCATCATCGTCATCATGCGTCTCCTCCTGCCCCCTCCAAAACTTTGATGACTCGGACCCGTAGAGCCGCTCACAGCATTCTATTGTAAGCAATTCCTGTCGCAAGCTCGTGCTCAGTTTGGTGTCCTCGCTCTTGAGACTCGGATCTGTGAATGAGCCCTCGTAGCAGCGAAAGCCCCAACCCTGTTGATCCTGTCAGAGGCAGTCCATCCCCTCCGCACACCACCAATACACCCTCATTCCGTCAAAGGGTCTGCCCACATTAAAACGAAATCATGGGGTCTAGGGTGACGCCTAGCGAACGCAGGGACCATGACCTGACACAATCAGCATATGTTTCACGCTCTCGATGTGTCCAGGTCTGCAGCAATGGAGAGGCCATGGGTGGAATGGGAGGCAGGGAGGAGGCAAGACGCGCTCACCCCTGGGCAGGGTACACCCTCTTACTTCCAAGGCAGCCCACGGCGACGGCACAGCACGACCGAAAAGCCATCCATCCGACAGGGAAACTGAAGCAGATGGCCGGCGAGCAGCCAAAAGAGGCGCAGCGACGCGGCAACGACACCGCACACCGACACCGTTCCTTGCGTTGCATTCCTGGGGGACCTTCTCTGTCCAATCACGTCAGCTATCCGTGTCGAATCCGTGTCGAATCCACGTCGAGCAATTCGAATCGGTGTCGAATCCACGTCGGATCCGTGCAGAAGCCTCGTCGGGTAAGAGGACAAAGCCGCAATCAGCAGGACAAACAAGCCCCCCCGAGGATGCAACGCAACGGCGCCGCGCGGGGCATCCGCGAAAAAACGCCCCGCACCCAATGGGGAAGAGAAACCCGGGAGGCAGGGCCCGCGAGGCCGTGAACGTGGACACATCATGGCCCTGGTCTTGCAGACGAGCCAACATAGAATTCGCTTGGATTTTTCTGCACGTTGAACACCCCAAGGCGGCGAGCGAAAACCACAGTGATGTTCCCGTAGTCTTGCTCAAGGTCTCTTCTACCGACCAAAACAAACATGCGCGAAAATTCACAACAAAATCCAGAATGACACTCTCGATAGAGTCCCCAAGAGCTTTCTTACGTTTCCGATCGGAATCCGCTCTGCGAAGTTGGCGCCGCGAGACATGCCTCTCGCCTCTGGAGCTGGCCAGGAGGAGCAACCCACGACCGCTTGGTACATCCCAAACTGCACCTCGCTGAGGCACAGATGTGCGCCCCCATTGGCCCATTGGAGGCAAACGTCCGAGCCGAACACATGTGAACGGACACGCAGGCCACCCGACCTTACAATTTCGGCCCCGCCCGGGGTGGGCGGGGAACCTGGCAGAGCTAACCCGCTACCACGGTGCACTGCTTTTTTCGCGACCACAACGATTGATTGACCGCGTCTGCGACAGTAAGACAAGACATACTCCTCAGAGGCTCACAACCCCATTTCATATGGCATGCTTTCATTGCGCAAATCAGAATTCGCAGAACAGGCGAGCGGCTTGGAAGCGCGTAATACAGAAAGCTGGTGCGCCCACTCTGTTGCATTTCAGAATCAACTGGCAGATATGGATCAGAAGAGCCACGGCCGACCTGGCGAACCGCGCGGGGACTCGCGCGGCGACACGGTGGAAAACCGGTTTCCGAGCCATTCGGATGCGGCCCTCGTGCGCACGAATGAGAATGATGATGATGAGGATGATGATGATAATGATGATTGCAGTGGTGGTCATGAGCATGATAATGATGATAGTAGTGATGATGATAATGATTGTGATGATGGTGGTGATGATGGTGATGATGGTGATGATGACGATGATGATGATGGTGATGATGATGACGCTGCCGCTGATTCTGATGATAGCACGGGGAAGCTCGCCCACCAGAGCCAGACTGAGCTTCAGCACGGCCGCATGTCCACGGTTGCGTCTGCGAGCTACATCAGTCAGGAGAGGGGGGGCGGGGAGGGCGGAAGTATAGAGGAACAGAAGACGGCATGAGCACAAGCGCAAACAGGACCTCCGTGCGGATTCTTGGATCGGCGCTGGAAACCCCTTCCTGGAGCGCGGGCGACAGGGGCGACGCCAGAGGCGCCGCCAGATGGGCCTCGCGCAGACACAAGAGATCCGCGGGGCCTTCGAAAGTTCACGTTCGCTCCGCCATCTCCTTCGACCTATACGCCAAGAGGTCGCAAAGGTTCTGAGCCCCTGTCTTCCCCTTAGCTTTGGATCGGGCATCTCTTCCTACAGGCGGACTCTTTTAAGAAACATGAAAAAGTCAACAAAAAAAAAATATATACAATCAAAAACAATTGAAAAATCGTCCCCTGACGATGTTCTTACTATTTTTTAATTTTCCTCCTGTAGAGGGACATGCCCGACTTAACCTCAGCTGCCCTCCCCCTCGCTGGCGGCGGGGCGGCGGGGCGGCGACACACAGGCGGGCCGAGGGTGGAAAGGCTCCTCCTCCTCCTCCTCCTCGTCTGGCTCGTCCTGCTCGTCCTCCTGCCCAGACCCCCGACGTCGCGACGTTCTCCGCAGCGCCGGCCCCAGAAGAGCTCGACCAACTCACCGGGACCGGCTCGTCATCCTGAGTCGCCTTGTTGTCGGTCCCCGGGCCCGGCGCAGGTCCCCAGAGTCAGAAAGCTGTGAAAAAACCCTCCGTCGCGTTTGCTGTCACGACGCGACGGGGTCTGGCCTCCTCCTCCTCCTCCTCCTCCTCCTTCTCCATCCGCCCTTTTGCAAATCCCCACTGTCGCACCCCTAGAGGCGTCGGTAGGGCGGGCCGAGCGTTGCGCCCGCGACTTCCTGACCATGAAGCGTTAAATGTGCATCGGATGGAGGGCATGTGACTTTCAGAATGCGGCTCTCGATTTAGCGCCGCGCACATTCGTGTGAAAAGTTAGCGACAGCTTCACAGATGGAGCGCGGGCAGTCTTCAACATGTGCCGTTCGCTCTAGCGCCGCGCACTTTCGCCTGACAAATGCGCAACAGCTACACCGACGGAGGGCGTAAAAATGCGGTTCTCGCCATAGCGCCGCACGCAGTCGTCTTGGCTGTATGCGACAATTTCACTCTCACAAATTGAGGACGTGTCGTTTTCAAAATGCGGCTTTCGCCTTGGCCACGTGTCTTGAAAGTACGCAACAGCTTCGAAGATGGGGGGCGGCTTCTTTTCAAAATGTGGTTCTCGCCTTAGGAGGAGCGCACACTCGTCTTGAACATTGGCCACAGTGGCAAGGGTTCGTATGGCTAGAATCAAAGACATGGCCCTCTGGCGCGATCCAGGATTGTAAAGACCTAAAGGTCACGTTACTTCGCGGCGCTGAAATCCCGGGAATGGTGTTTTGGCACGATTGGGGATTTTCAGAGGGTTGTCTTCTAATGGGATCCATCCCGCAATAATCAGAAATTCGTGCATGGGCCGATGCCGAGGAATCAGGACGGAGGGTTCATTACGACATCGCTGATGCGTCTTAGGTTCGCAATGGTCTTTATTATTATCATGTTTGGTGGTGTGCGGTCTCCACGTGCCACGCTCGTAGCGCTCGGTGGCAAAAAGACGAAACAGAGAGGCCGATCTGGGCAAAGTGCGCAATATAGATTAAGCAGGGCGAACGTGGCTGGGCCAAGTGATAGGCGCCTGAGACAAGGGCACGGAGTATACGCCCACCATGCGTTTCGTGAGGAAGCGAGAAGGCCGAAACACGCATATATCGAAATGACTTGAAAAATGAGGAAGACACCGAACACCTCTTCCTCCGCCTCATGGCACGTACCTGGGACTGTTCGCGAAATTACTGCTCGCCACCGCCCTCGTGAGCTTCACGTTGTGGTGCCGTTCTCGCTTGAGGAATTATGGCAAGCGCCGCCGCTTGACAGATGGGCGATGCCGCACACGCGATGGCAGACAGGTGACGTCCTCCTCCTCCTGCCTCCTCCTCCTCCTGCCTCCTCCTCCTCCTCCTCCTCCACCTCCTCCTCCTCCTCCTCCTCCTCCTCCTCCTCATCCTCCTGCCTCCTCCTCCTCCTGCCTCCTCCTCCTGCCTCCTCCTCCTCCTCCTCCTCCTCCTCCTCCTCCTCCTCCTCCTCCTCCTCCTCCTCCTCCTCCCTCCTCCTCCTCCTCCTCCTCCTCCTCCTCCTCCTCCTCCTCCTCCTCCTCCTCCTCCTCCTCCTCCTCCTCCTCCTCCTCCTCCTCCTCCTCCTCCTCCTCCTCCTCCTCCTCCTCCTCCTCCTCCTCCTCCTCCTCCTCCTCCTCCTCCTCCTCCTCCTCCTCCTCCTCCTCCTCCTCCTCCTCCTCCTCCTCCTCCTCCTCCTCCTCCCCTCCCCTCCTCCTCCTCCTCCTCCTCCTCCTCCTCCTCCTCCTCCTCCTCCTCCTCCTCCTCCTCCTGCCTCCTCCTCCTCCTCCTCCTCCTCCTCCTCCTCCTCCTCCTCCTCCCGCCTCCTGCCTCCTCCTCCTCCTCCTCCGCCTCCTGCCTCCTCCATCCTCCTGCCTCCATCCTCCTCCTCCCGCTCCGCGGCGCCGCGGCGCCGCCCGGCCGCCCCCACCCCGCCCGCCTGCTGCGGCCGCCGCGCCGCCCCGCGGCACGGCCGGCAGCAGCCCCTTGCCCCACGGCGCGGCGCCCGAGCCTCTGGCGGGGCGGCCGCCCCCCGGGGGCTCGCCCTCGCTGGGGCGTGCCCTCCCCGTGCACGTGTCGGGTTCTCGGGTCGGGCGAAAGGGGGGGATAGCAAAGGGGGGGGTTGAGAATCAGCTCGCGTAGCTGAGTTTCCATGCACCTCCCAGCGCCGGAGGCGGCTATGTATCGAGGAATGGGCCCCTCGGTGAAGCCGAAACCAGCTGCATGCAGCAAATTTCGTAACCCCCCCTTTCCCAATCACCCCCTTTCGCCCGGCCCGAGGTTCGTGCGCACCAGTGGAGGCCAGGTCCGCAACACGAGAAACCCAGCCCTGAGACCCCAGGACGTCCACGGATTCTGGCATGGGAACGCCACGCTCCCCGTCGCAAAGGCATCGAAGCCCAAGAGACCCAGGGCACCCTGGAGGCAAGCAAGGTGTTTCTTGGCATGGGCCTCACTGTACTTGTTTCGCGCGATGGTCCAAGATCCTGCTGGATGGTCCTTGCCGGAGCACTCCTCGCGAGGCCTAGATGACCCCAGGGGGCCAGGAATTGAGCGAAAAGCTGGGGGCACCTCTAGCCAGGGGCACCTTTAGCAACCACCGAGAGAAGAGGGGGCGGGCATTCTCAGAAGGCTCAGAAGGCCTTCGGCCTTCTGGGAAGCATTGCATTTCTTCAAAGACGTAAAAGGCGCGAGGGAGTCTGAAGGGCCCCGCCGCCTTCTGATCAGGCTTTCTCCCTCACACTTCCCCCCCTCGCTCGCCGACGACTGTTGCGGGGCGGCCGTCCCCATTTCTGTGCCTCCCGCCGTGCTGAGCACCCAGAGATCCGACGCTCCGAAACACTTGTATAGCGGCCGGTTAATGGCCGTTTTCGTCGTCTGGGGGCCCTCGCCGGGCCTCCGGACCGTCAACAAACGACTAGGGACGAAACACCGGCCCTCGGGAAGTGTGCGGCGCTGAGGCGAGAGCGACATTTTGATTTTCACACGCCCTCCGTCTGTGAAGCTGTTGTCGACTTATAAGCGGCCCGCCCTTTCGGCAGGCCTCTCGGGGTACGACGGGGAGGAGTTCTCTGCAAGGAAGAGGGATGTAGGAGGGGGAGGAAGAGCGAGGAGAAGGTGTAGTAGTGGTCCAGCCCTCCAGCGCCCACGCATCGAACAAAGTTGGGGCGGCCCGAGCCTTCGCGGGGTGACCGTCCCTGCCTTTGCGCCCCCCGCCGTGCTGGAACACCAGCCTTCTGCGGGACGCTCCAGGAGATGCCGATGCTGGGCGCCCCCCTCGGAGGCGTGCGCCCGACCCGAACAGATGGCACAACCACCTCGTCACAGCCATCTCGTAGCGCATCGTCTCCCGAACGGTACGGCCCGAGCGCGCGCGCGTCGCCACTTCGGGGGCGACGCAGACGTAGTATCAGCGTGCTGAGGTGGCGCCGGTTCTGTGGCAACTCATGGGAGCCTCCAACGAGATGGCTGTTAGTATCCTCTGGCGCGAAACGGTCGTTGCCCAGGCAAGACCCCCGCACCACCACCTGGGCAAGAGTAACGATCGCACGTAGGGAAGCCCTGGGCCCCCTTATTGTGTTGGCTCTTGCAAACCGACGCTAATCGACACTAACTGGCGCTAGCCGACGCTCATCGACGCTAAACGACGCCAGGTCGACGATACATCGACACTAAATCGGGGCTTTCCCATCGATTACCAAACGCTGGCGCACGCTAGTGTACTCTATAGACTGAATTTCAAGAACACGTAAAGCTGCAATGGGTGGACTGGCGTCCTGCACGGGCGGGCTCCACGAAGGCTGCGCCCCCTGCGGCGAAACACGTCAGCCGAAGTCCGAGTGGTAATAACTCTGTTGCTCTGAAGCAAATCTGAAGCGAATAGTTCTGTCCACCCATGCCCTCTCTATCCCCGAACCCTCAATAAACGTTTGGGAGGCCCGGGGGGGTATCTTACGCCGCAGGCTTCAAGCTCGTTGTCCATGTACGGAGGGAGATGCCTCGATCAAGGTTCGACCCAGACCCCATAGGGGCGGAGCGTCGAACTTCGAGGTTCGGGGTTTGAGCGTTTTTCGCGCTCTGGGCCTCCAAGGGCTTTCTCTAGAAGGAAAAACACCAGAAGGATACCTTTCGGCGCTCCGTGCGGAGATCTTGGGTCTGCGCTGGACCCCCTTCCCTGGCGCGCGGAGCGCGCCAGGGGCGGCGCCGGAGGCGCCGCCAGGGGGCCACAGCGCAGATCCAAGAAATCCGCGCGAAGCGCTACAAGAGTATGTGTATGGCGCTGTTTCTTCTTCGAGGGCCTCCAGGGGCTTTCTCGTCGCCGCGACGCATCCGAGCGGCATTCAACCATCCACCCAGCGTCATCATTCTCCTCATCCCTCCTTCGCTCGGTTCCTCGCCACCCCCTCATCTATCCATCTGGCCTCCTCTTCCGCCTCATCCTTTGCACGGATCGGCTGTCCCTCTCGTTGCCCCCCCACTTCCCTGATCTCTTCAACTGGATCCACCTCGAAATCCTGGCCAAGACGCACGCCGGAGCTCCTGGGCCCCAGGGGCGCGGAGGGCGCCCGTGCCTCCAGCGGAAGACGAGGCCTGGGGCTCGGGCTGGCCCCTCGCGGCAGGAGCATCGGGGAGGGAGGCACGAGAGAGTGAGGGAGAGGAGGCGTTAGAAGGAGGAGGAGGAGGCGGAGGAGGAGGAGGAGGAGGAGGAAGGAGGAGGAGGAGGAGGAGGAGGAGGAGGAGGAAGGAGAAGAAGGAAGGAGGAGAAGGAAGGAGAGGGAGGAGGCGAGGCCCCAGCGTGTGCTGCCCCCCCCTCCCACTGGGAGCCGAGCAGGTGGAAGCGGCACACTGGGCAGCGCGGCACCTCGCCGCGCGCGCGTCTCGTCGTCGTTGTGGGCGTCCTCGCACTCGTCGTCGTCCTCGTCATCCTCCTCCTCCCCTCATTCTCCGTTCTCCTCCTCGTCCTCCTCGTCGTCCTTCTCCTTCCGTCCCCGCTCCTCCTCCCCTCCTCGTCCTCTTCCTCCTGCGCCTCCATCTCCCCTCCGCCCTGACAGTCCTCTTCCTTTCCCTCTCCCTCCCAATCCCATTCCAGCTCGTCCCTCCCCCTTCCCCTCCTACACCTTCTCCTACACCTCCTCCTCCGTCCCTCAGGGGGGCAGCGGGAAGAAAGGAAGGAGACGCGGGGCACCGTCTCTTTAAAACGAAGACCCAACTCTATAGGATGGTTGGGAATTAACCTGAGATTCGCTTGGGGGTTGGTGTCTGCTTCTAGAAGCCTCCTTGGTGGGGTCCGAGTGGATGCGTCGGAGCCGTATCGGCTATGCATCGGCGATGCATCAACGACGTCGGCGATGCACCAGCGCCATCGGCGTGGAGAATATCGGGACTCACACCGAGCCGCATCGCCAATGCATCGGCGATGCGGCGCGATCCTCCGATCTCACCTACTCGGGCCTCATCTGGGAGGCCTAGAAAGTATAACCTCACGCAGCCTCCTTTTTATGAGTGGGGTGCAGTGACCGAAATCTGTGCTCGAAAACCTGCCCGAGTGTGACTGAGATGGGCGCCATTTTTTCCGAACGCGTCAGGATATGAGGGAAATTCTTGGTTCGAAAACAACACGAATCTGAGTTGCGTCTCCGATTTCGATTACACTACGTTTACGGGCACAATTTCAGTCACGACTTCGGTCACCGATGTTGGTTTGTTCGTAGACCTTTTCGGTTGATAGGGGCCAGGGGCCATGAAAACCTGAGGCAGCGGGTGTCTGTCAATTGTCGGCCTCTGGGGGGCCTACGTAGACCTCCTCAGGATGAAAAGCCTGCCATGGAAGGGGTCCAGACCTCTGGGGAGACGCATTATGGCAAAAAATCACGACCCAGGTGTCTGGGTGGTTGGGCAGGCCCAGAGGTGGCCAGGGTCAAGGGAAATCGCGCCGGACGGCCCCATGATGAGGTAAATACAAACCTCAAGCTGCGTTCGCTCCCTGACCCACCTTGGACTGACTAGTGCTGGTGCTGGTCGTTAGTCTGATGCGTGCTGGCGCTAGCTGTATTTAGTGCTGGTGCTTGGTGGTCACTGGAGCTGGTGCTGGTGCTGGTGCGTTGTAAGCACCCTCGACCGTGACTGGGACTTGCCCGCTCGGCAATCTGACCATGACGGCGAGGAGGGGCATAAACATAGACTACATGAGACGGGATACGATGCGCGAAAACATTGGTGTTCGCAGGTGGCCGGTCAGGTGACACGAGGGCCATCGTGTTGAAATGCGGGAGCGCCCGACGGAACCTTTTCCCACGGGGCGGCCGTAGCGCAAGAGCACCTGCAGGACCAGTGAGAACGCCGAGCAGGTTACGGCGAGCAGTTCGTTCTGTGACGATGACGGGGCTGGCCCCTGGCACCGCGTGGATCGCTCAACCTCGCGCGATCGCGGCTTTCCCGAAGCGCCGATCGCGCAGCGTCAGTCCCAGAGCACAGCGCGGCCTTCCACGCTGCACGCCCGCGCTGGGGTCGCCGCCACGTCGACACGACACGGAGCTGCCGCACGGGAGGAGCAGCACGGGTGCCCCGTGTCTCTGCCGAATCCCAGGATGTTGGCATGTGGGCTGCAGAGAAAGCCGCACCCTGTGGAGGCAGCGTCTTTTACGAGGGGGATGGCGACCCCAACCCCCGACTCCTGAAGGTTTCCGACGACACCCCAGATTCGGGCCCAACTCTGGGATATACGATGGGAAGGCGTCCCTGCTCGATAGGGGTGCATCCGAATAGCCCCCCGAAGGTGTATTTCCCCCTCTTTTCTCTGAGCGACCGTTTTTCTAGGTGGCACTTCGGAGACTGAGGGCGAAAGATCGCCTGTGAGTCTTGGCACGATGCGGAAGCAGAGCTAAGCACTGCCTGAACACCCACCTACCCGGCTACTCTTCAC